AATCCATTTCCTCATCCTGGCTAACATCCAAGTCACTCAGCAATGCCAGCTCATATTTCGCTGCCATATCCTCTTCGCTCGAACTCACATCTGCCAACGGAGCAGATTCCAATCCCGGCGTCACAACACATGACCATGGGACACTTCAACCTGTTGGCTGCCAAAATGAAGTACCCAAAATGAAGTCATTTGACTCTGTGTGTGTGTGTATGCGTGCGCGTATGTGGGGGCTGTTTGGGAAGTGTTTGGGAAGTGCTTTACAGTTGTAAGTCTTACTGATCACAAGCCAAGGATTACCTGTAGATCTTACGCAAACATCCTTCATCCAAAATTAAAATAATGCAAGGTTTCTTCTATGGCACCTGTGATGATGGGGATTTCTGCAGGTTTTTGTGTCTGTCCTGCACATTCCATGGCAGCAGATATTCTGCCTGCTGCTGCTCATCCCAGTCTGGTTAAGAGGCCAACAGACACCAGTTGACCAAACATTTGGGGTAAATTGAGACAACAGCAAAGAGTCGGTCTCCAGATCCCTTGTGGGGATCAGAATTGCTTTCCCAAATGAAGGCAAACGCCTTTCCCTTTTTTCTCCAGTTTGAAAAATTAATTGCATGGTAGTGCTGGGTTTGTTTTTTTAAAGAGCTAGATCTGTTTTTGCCTCCCTGAGCCTCTTTGCTTCCTGCAGTCAAAAAGCTGAAGTGCCAGATCTGCTGATTCCATTTTCAGGAAACAGTCCAAGGTTGTGGAAAGAAAGCTAAAAAGGACTTTAAGCAGCGGTGTGCAATATTAGTTTATGTGGAGCATATGTCGTGACCTTCTCAAGAATGTGCCTTCACTTCTATAAATGTTTATTATGCTGAAATATTGAATGATGTGCTAAATTTTTCTTTTCAATTATACTTTCTCTTTAGAAAAATATATTGTAGCTAAATATTCTCGTCCCTTGGAATTATTTATTGCATTCTTGAACATTCTTGAGCATTTCTCCTCTTCTCCATTTCAGCCCTTCAGGTCCTTGAAGGAGATTATCATGTCTCCCAAAGTCTTAAGGGAAGGCGGAGCATACCCAACGCTTGGCAACTTTTGGAGGGCCACAAATTCTCCACCAGAAGCCCCCCACCCACCCCAATGTCCTAATATCCTTTCCCCTGACTTTACTAAAGACACCCAACAATGCAGAAATATTGCTCAAGGGAAGAAACATCAATATTTCGGGTTTCTGGCCATCTTTACCAAAATCATCCCATACCTATATAGCAATTGGTACAGGAACTCCATTGTTAAGTGATGCAGTCAAAGTTCAGTGTCACACAACTGCACCAACTTACATCCCTTTCCTAAAGGATGAAAGAGTGAGACTACTCTGGTTGGAAGGGGGCACGTTCATAGTGAGCAGAGGGTGCGATTCATCCCTCCCTAGTTTGCACAAATATCATGGAATATTCAGAGTGGAAGTAGCTAATGTGATTAATAATTTGACTTAGCAGCTCGGGGGAACTTTGTGATGTGAAAATGCTAAGACCCTTATTATATACAGGCTGGTTTTGCAAAATGGACTTCATCTGAATGATAGAAATGATTTGTTTGGTATAGCAATTGTGTGTTGCTGAAATGTTGTCTACTGTGTTAACCCAGCCAATCTGAAGATTGTTCCACCTTATCTATTTTTTCCCCTCAAATTAACACCAATATTGGAGAAAGTAAATGCTGAACAAAACTTTAGCAAATGCTAATACTTTTTCCACTCAAAGGTATATATAAAGGTGTAACCTGCAATTTCCTTGCAAGTAAGAATTGGTTGTTCTGGGAACTAAAATCTCAGTGTACCAGAAAGCTTGCTGGTTTGTATCACTCACACATGACAATTTGTCCAATATTATTAACACTATTCGCATACCCGGGTTTCTTAAAAGTAACAGAACATGGAAGAGATTTGACAAGAGGCCAGGTTAATGCGTCAAGAAATTATAGCATGGTTTAGTTTCCACGGTGTCTTGTGAGCCCAACTATTATGCTTTTTAAACAATTGCACTGAGCCATTAAAAGTACAAGTCCAGCCAATTGTGACTTAAGACAATATTATTTACAATGATTTGGGAAACTCTTAGTTTTCCCTTCTAAACCGATATATTCCAAGTTGATATACCGTAACTTGTGCCATTCTCCACAGCCTTGGCCCAAATAGGGGTGAGAGGACATGTGCAGCTGATACTAAGATTGGAAGGACCTTAATCAGATTCTCCTCCTTTGCTGCAAACCAGCCGCCTGGCACTTAACAAGAGGGGGCGCCTCCCTGATACAGGCATGCACTACTGGCTAAGAGTAAACTGCTAGCATGTCCTTTGGGCTTTGCCTAAAGGCAGACTCGCAAGAGAGGGTGACACACCTGGAGCAGGTCAAGCAACCATAGGGGGTGGGGGTGGGGGCTTAGCCTGGATCACACAGACTGGCACAGTCCCTATCTTGATGTCGCCCTGGTATGGTTTGGATGGCAGCATCCAGCTCTTGCTCCCAGTGCACCTGAAGGGCTGGAAATAGGTGGAACTACCCAGAACGCGTGCGCGCGCACGCACACACACACACACACACACAGAGAGTGTTTTTGTTTGGCTACTTTTAACTGCTAAGGAAAAAACGAAACTGCTAAGAAGGAAAAAACAAGTATTTTCTTCATACTGTAAATACAGTACAATTACAATTATCATGAGAACTATGTTCTAGACATTGACACACATTCCTACACAGGTACAGAGGAAATATATAGTTGCAAAAAAATGAAAACAACACACATGCAACAGGTTTAGACCTCAGCCGCATCTCCAGGTTCAACATGTTCATGAGCAAAGAAATTGGCATTTCCCAAACAACTCAGCATTCTGGCACCTCCACGCTCACAAGTGTGTTTCTCCTTGGGATTAAAAACTGCAGGGGGAAAAACTACATCGCTTTCCATTACACAACTTTGTATATCCTTGTTTCTATTACCCGAGTTTGTCTTAAACTCTTAGTCTAAAGCTTGGTTGCAGCACAAACCCAAAGGGAGACAGCATCCTGCCTTGACTCATTTTCATCACAAATTGGCTCTGCAGGAGGGAAGAAAGGGGTGCACCCCAACTCCTTCAAGGATCCTGTATAATTCGCCATCTGGATTCTCCTACTCGGTAAAGCAACCTTCCCAAAAAGCCCCCAGAAGAAAAGGTACAGCTATATGATCTCTAGGCTCCCTGATAGTCGAGAATGATTGTAAGGAAAAGATTACGGCTTCTTACAAGCAAAGCAAAAGCTCAGCTTTCTTAAAACACACCGAATGTTGGGTGCTTAAGGCACTTCTCAGGAGGAAGATTATGTATTTCATGTGCTTTGGCCTTCTCCAAATTAATATTCTGTGAGTGCTGCAAAAAAAAAAAAAAAGGGGGGGGGTGCCTGCTAATTTAAGGAGAATTGCATCCCTCACCCATCCCACTCTTGTGTAAATCCAGAAACAGTGGGGTATTTAGCAGCACATGACCCCCCCTCCCACCTTTCTGACTCCTGAGGGGATGCCAGGAAAAGCACCCAATGCAACAGGCCAGCCACTAAAAGGCTCCTCTTCAGGGAGGAGAGAGTAAAAGCCCAGTCAAAGGCTTAAAACAGATGTGCAAAGATTACAAAACTTGCTCTTTTCAGCGAAGTCCCCCAATTTAATATCCATCAATCTGGGGTCTATTTGGACAATCATTAACATTGAATAAATGTACTTCTACTAGAAATTAAATGTAAACACTAGAATGTACTTCTGTAGTGTTGATTACCCTAAAATCAAAATTTACTAAATTCCCAAAGTATACTGGTGTGGCTGGAAGTACGGGCTGGGGAACAGAAAACCTTGAAGTTTAATATCTATTTTTATTTTATTTTATTGTGAGGAAAGGAGCATTTCAGAAAATTACAAGTGTTTTCATCCACCGTTTACTATTTCTGAAAATACTGACCCTGCTGTAAATATTGCCTCAAGTAAGGCACTAAATCAGGGCTCTTCAAACTTGGCAGCTTTAAGACTTGTGGACTTCAACTCCCAGAATTCCTCCTCCAGCATGTTAACTCTGGAATTCTGGGAGTTGAAGTCCACAAGTCTTAAATCTGCCAAGTTTGAAAGCCCTTGCACTAAATCATAGTATACAAGGATTTAGAGATACAGTCAAACCATTTGGGAATGAAAAAGTGGAAAATGGAACACAGAAAAAGAAAAAGAAAAAAGGCCTTTTAGCCTGGTTTCATAAAGATTCTCCTCTTTGGTGTCCAGAGATTGCCTCGGAGCCTCCATCGAGCCCGTCTGGTGGAACAATCCGGCTCCCTCGGGACTGGCTTCCTCTCGGGCTTTGTCCTCCAAAACTGGACAGTGGATATTATTCCTTATCATGATGCTCATATGAAAATGACACCCCTAAAACTTTGCCAGACCTCTCATCAGACAAGACATGAACATTAAAGGAACAACATTCTAAGTACAGGCACATTGTGAAAGTCTTTTTGTCTGGATATTTTTTTTTCTCCAGTTCTGGAATGTTTTACAAAAATGGGACATTCATCTTGGGAGGAAAACATAGAAAGTTTCCCTTCACCTCTTGGAGGCTCAAAGATTTCGAGGAAACCGGAAACTTTTGCAAATTTAATACTCAAAACATGGCAGCACCATTGCCCGTCTCCTGCAAAAATGGCGGGCTTGGAAAGGCATTATGGATTTCCAGAGAGCTAACAAGTTTCTCTTAAATACAAACTTTTTAAAAAATACTGTAATTTTAAAAATTTAGTGCATTTAAGACCTTGGTTTACTTTCATCCAGCTGCTACCAGATCCAGTAATTTTAAAAAAAGGTAAGGAAAAAAATTCTTAATCTAGTTTAATAATTTTGGAACAAATTATAAGTTAAGTTGTTCATCACTTTGAGAGAAAAGTATATACACAAATAACAAAAGAAGGTTCCTTTATGAGACAGTAACTGTAATTTCTATCTTTAAAAAGTATCTGAAGAAATTATTCTTGCTATGTTTTCAGCATGTTCTGTTCAGATAAGATACTCCACCATTTCTGCATCTTTGAGGTCCTGCCCCAAATTCTGAGGTGGGTTTTTCCGTTCTAGGGTGCTGGAATGGAAAATGGAGCCATCTGCAGATAAGAGAAGAAGAAGGCAAAGTATCACCATGATTAAACGTAAAAAGGATGGTGAAAAAACTGCTCTTGAAATCAACGGGCAAAACATTTGTCATTTATGACCAGGTTTCACTGGCCGTCTATCTAGCCAACCCTTTTAACATGAACGCCAGTTGTTGGGAAGAGGGGGTCTAAATAGCTTTACTTGGATCCCCTTAGTTAGTATGAGCTTCAATTAGAATAGAGTGCTGGAAGGGACCTTGGAGGTCTTCTAGTCCAACCCCCTGCTCAAGCAGGAGACCCTATACTGTTTCAGATAGGTGGCTGTCCAGTCTTTTCTTAAAATAAAATAAAAAAACCACTGATGAAGCACCCACAACTTCTGGTGGCAGACTGTTCCACTGGTTAATCGTTCTCACTGTTAAGAAGTTTCTCCATAATTCCAGGTTGCTTCTCTCCTTGATTAGTTTCCATCCATTGTCTTTTGTCATCCCTTCTGGTGCTTTGGAAAATAAGTTGACCCCTTCCTCTTTGTGGCAGCCCCTCAAATACTGGAATGCTACTATCAGGTCACCCCTAGTCCTTTATTTCTCTAAACTGGCCAATTCCTGCAGCCGTTCTTCCTACGTTTTAGTTTCCAGGCCTTTGATCATTTTAATTGCTCTTTGCACTTCTTCCAAAGTCTCAACATCTTTTTTGTAATGTGGTGACCAAAACTGGATACAATACTCTAGGTGTGGTCTTATTAAGGTTTTATAAAGCTGTACTAATACTCCGTACCTTTGCCTCTGTTTATACAACCAAGGATTGTATTAGCTTTTCTGGCTCTCGTATAAGAGATCATCCACTAGGATTCCAAGGTCCCTCTCACAGTTACTGAAGGCAGGCTCGCCCAGTCTGTACTTGGACCTTTGGTTTTTCCTGCCTAAGTGTAAAACCTTGCCTTTCTCCACATTAAATTTCACATTGTTGGATAGGGCTCATTGTTCAAGTCTATCAAGATCTTTTTGGATTCTGAGCTTTTCTTCTGGAGTGTTGGCTATTCCTGCCAGTTTGGTGTCGTCTGCAAATTGGATGCGTCCCCCTTCTCTTCCCTCATCTGAGTCATTTATGAAGATGTTGAAGAGTCCTGGGCCTAAGACAGAACCTCGTGGTACCCCACTGCTTACTTCCCTCCCTATGGATGCAGTACCATTAAGGACTACTCGTTGAGTATGGTTCGTCAGCCAGTTACAAATCCATCTGATGGTGATGCTGTCTATCCCACTTTCTTCTAGCTTACCAAGAAGCAGGTTGGGGTCTACTTTGTCAAATGCCTTGCTGAAGTCCCGCCCAACAAAGAGGACGCGGGGGATTGTGCAATGAGGAGAGCAGTGACACCGTCCTGCTTGACCTCTTGGAAGGGCTTCAATACTAATACAGCGGCATTGACTGTCTGAGGCCTGAGTGGCTCAGAGGGGAGGGTCTAGCATGCTCCGTGCTGCCATGCCCATTTTCTGGGGCTGTCAAAACCAGAAACCCTGCCAGCTTCCAGCATCCTCCAGATGGAATGAAACTAACAGGGACTCCTCATTATCGACTGAAGTCATGCTGGTGATTAGGAAGGAACTTTGCAATCCATTCCCACATTGATGATCTTATGTCTATAAAGCAAAGGAAAGCTGAAGTTCGATCGTAAGCACCAGGGTGCTTTCTCTTAGTGACCACTCTGCTTAATGACCGAGTTAATTCCCACCCAGCCAGGGAGGCCTAGAATTCTGGGATCCAAATGCACCATCCTGGGGAGGAGCAGTGCACAGGGGACCAACTCTGTCATCCCTTCACTGCTCCACTCGCACCGGCACTTCTCGACCGAAAGCGTGAAGCCCGCATTCCCCGGAGGGAGAGGCTGCATTCCAGGAGATCAAGAGAACCTGGAAGTGCGGGGAGTTTGGTTGGAAGAGGTTGGAGACGGCTCCTCCCTAGGAGTTCTCAGAGTCGATATTTAATGAGGCAAGTAGCAACTGCATCAGCTTGGCAAGGTTTCTGCCTGCAGGCGAGGAACAATCCAGGGAAGACACTCGGCGCACCTTCCCTGAACTTCAGGCAGCAGCTTTGGGCTGCAGGACTTGCAGGAGGGGAGGAGGCGGCACTGGCCGGTTTGCTCGACCTCCGCCGTGTCCGGTGCTGCAGGCCCAACTCAGAGTAACACCCCTCCGTACCTGATTTATCTGCCCCGTAGGCCAGGTTCACCCCTGGGAGTCTCCCTGGCGTGGGGGGCGCAGGGGAGGCACCAGGGGCCTTGCTCTGCTCACTGCCCCGGTCCGTCTGCGTGCTGCAGTCCCGGCTGCCCGTTTTGGAGTGCACCGAGAGCAACGGTGTGGAGGGAAGAACCGGTGACGGGGTGGAAGGGATGGACTCCGAGCGGCATTCCGTTCCCAGCAGAACACCTGGCAGGGAAGAGGGGCAGGTGGTTACTTGGGGTTTGGCTCTGCCGTGGGCCGGGGCCTGGCTGCTGACCCTTGCCCACTCAGCCCTCCGGGGAAGCCACTTTACCAAGCAAGGAAGCATGTGCAGGGCTGAGAAAGGAAGCAGGCGTTGCACCTGCTGGTTGTGTCAATTGCAACCTGCAAGCAGAGCTGAATTTCACATCGGCAGCCTATAAGGAGTCAGGCAGCCGTCAAACGGGCTTTAATCCTCCTCTCTATCCTCAGAGTCTGACAACTTATCCTTAACTTCCCAGATGCCACTCCCAGAAGCCACTTTCAAAATCTTTATTAAAATGTAAATCTTGCAAGTAGCGTCGTTAAAAACATCATGGGGAATAGGAATAAGATCAGCCGCAATATAGGTGAGTTGTGGATTGCCCCGCTCTCTGTGTCATTATGGACATAGATTCCTTCCCATTTTAGGCTTTCTTACTTGATTAATTAAAAAAGGAAAAATTAATTGGAAAAAATTATGTGTAAATTTGGAACACTTTACTCAATCTACATGGAACAAAATTTCATAACTTGTGGCAAATAAATCATGTCGGCCTTTGCTTCAGCTGCCAGAGGCCCACATGCCCCAAATGGCAAGTCTCTACACACAAACACACACACACAGACAGACACCTGGTGGGGACGGTGCAATATTTCATAGCAAATAATAATAATGGAAGTTAGAAACTAAAAATGCACTTCATGTTTTCAGTACATTTTTTTGTGTTTGGTGATTTTAATCAAACTTTATTTACCCTCCAAGATCAAACATATTAGGAGATTGATCTTTCAGTACTAAAATAATACTAAGATACTGGCATTTAGCTCTGAGATTTAAAAGGCATGTAAAAATCATTTCTTTTTCTTTTTTGTTTAAAATAACTTCTGCTTCTTTGGTTAACCTTTCCTCAATAAAATGCAGAGCGCTCACTGTATAATTCTTGCAATTTCTACCTATTGATAAATCTTTTTTTCCTTTGGCTTGTCTATTCAAAGAAAATGAAAGGATCACCTAAACTGCCTTTCCAGCTCTTCTCCTCCCTCTTGTCTTCCAGGATGGGGGTGTTGCTGAGGGTGGAAGAGTGGGAGAGCAAGCCAGAGCCAGCGTTGGAGATGGAGATGAGGGACTTGGCTGGCCGCATGGAGGACAGCTGGTCAGTCTTGCTGGCCTCCTTCCGGGACCGCTGCTGGAGGACCTTGATCATGGCGTCCTTCTCAATGATCTGAGCGTGAAGAGTCTTGATTCTGAAGCGGGGGATATAAAAGAACAGCCTCCTCATTTCAGTCACCCCTGGGCTTCTCGGGTTACAGAAGTTCTCCCAAAGAGTCAGAAAACTGGACCCGTTGGAGTCATCGGCTGGTTGGTGAGAGAGGCCTGCGGGGCTGTAGACCTCAAGCCCTCCTTTCTCTAGACCAGGAAAGCTGCAGGTTCCGAGGCCGACATCCAAGTAATGGAAAGAGGATGTGGGAGGCCCTGAATATGCTGCACTGGTGCGTAAACAAAGGGACTTTCCAGAGAAACCCTGCCAAGCCACATCAGCCTCACTCCCACGTTTCTAGAAAAGGAATTGAACTCACTCTAGGAAAAAAAAACCCAAAAAGGGAGAATACCGAAACTAAACACTAACTCCACCTACAAAAGCAAAAGACGGATCCAGCTCTTTCCCCAGGTGTGATTCTTCTCCCCCACTTGCAAACGGAAAGGCCCGGATCCCTGTCAGAAGGGAGAACCCACCCGGGTAAATTTAGTCAAGGAGCAGAAACGTCAACGATCTCCTTCCTCCTCCTCCTGATTGGAAGAGAAGCTCCTTCGTTGCCAACGTCTTTCCCCGGCACAGGGCTTCTGCCTTTCACCATCCCGAGGATTAAAAACAGGCAGGAGGACCAGATTTCTTTACCCCTCGTTTACGGGATGAAGACACTGCACGCGCACCATTCCCCCAAGAAAGAGCAGAATGGAGGAGAAGGCAGCGCGAGGTTCTCTTTGGGGAATGCACCTCCAAGGGGCCTCTTTGCGGGACTTAACAACCCGGTAGGAGCACAGCAAGCATTGGGTTGCCGTCAACCAGGGGTGTCAAAGTGGATTTCTTCCAGGATCAGCATTGCAATTCTACTCCGTCGGCTGGCCCCGCAGGCCAGATTTAAGCCCCCTGCAGTTCCGGGCCCCGGGCCTTGAGTGACACTACTGCCCTAAACCCATTAAAGGGCTTTCTAGGTCAATGCAATCACTTAACTGTGCCTGATATAGATATTAACTGGCCCTTTATGCTAGTTAGTCTCTCTACTGTGTGTCAACTCCAACTTGGCCACTTTTCATGCAGAACCTCCTGCGGTGGAATGTAGTCTGGATTCCAGAGAGGGAGGAGGGAGGGAGGGAGGGGCTGCATCCCAGAGGACCAAGAGGCAGTTTAGACAGCTTGGTTGGGAGGAAGAGGGTCAAGACAGCCCCACCACCACCGGGAAGTTCACAGAGCACACCTTTAATGAGGCAGGTAGTTACTTTAGTTTGGCAAGATTTCTGTCTACAGGTGAGGACCAATAAAAGAAGTATCCCTCTGTAACTCCCTTGGTTTTTGGAGCCTGGCACTTCCTGAGCGGTCAAGAACTCCATGGATTTCCGGGTAATTCAAGAATTCTGGATTTCAGAGTCCCACACGATGCAGAGCGGAAGAATGAAGCGGCTGCCCTTACCTGCCCTCCATGTCCAGGCACCTCCGGTTGGCCAGAAGGATCTCCTCCTCTTCCTTCTGGATGCGAGCTTCCAGGGAGGTGTCATAGCTGGTGTTGGGCGAAGGGCTGATTACGGTGGTGTCCCTGCAAACAGTATTGGATGGAGAGTCAGGGGTCCCTGCTTGGCTTTGGGGCACAGAATCTTCCCATTTACCAGGCAAGAAGGAACCCAACTTGTTCCAGCATCAGCAGATCTGCAAAATGCCGCTGGCTGAATTAGGCCCCTTCCCCTTGGAGAGCAGGGCAAAATAAGATCATCCAAGTTCCCCTGCGAAAGAAATCCCCCATATGCAGAACAAAAATAGTTGGTCAGATTTTGAGATGCAAGAAAATACGCGTGTCTTTTAGTTTAAAGGTGAGGTATGTGGCAAGGGATTCGGGTTATGACTGACCGTAAGGCAGCTTCCCTAACAGGTAAGGGTGACACGGATTTTCTAAACTAGCTAAAGGTGGTTTTTTTGGTGGGGGGACGGTTTGAGGCCGCAAACAACGGTCCAGCAAGGAAGGCTTCCTGATAAACAGGTGCTCAGGTTTGATACAACAGCTATTCAGAAGGTCCTGCGGAAAGTCAACACTCGGAATAATATCCCTGGGCAGGTACTTAAGGAGCATGTGTGCCGACCAGCCGGCCCCTGTTCTCACAGGCATCTTCAACCTCTCGTTGCATCAGGCCATGGTTCCATCCTGTTTTAAGACTGCTCTCATTCTACCAGCGACCCCCCAAAATCTGTAATCGCGTCCAGGTGCTTTCACTTCCATTATGATGAAGTGTTTTGAGAGATATGGTTTCACGCCTTCCCCCTAACATTTGACTCGTTACGGTTGGCCTATCGGAAGAACCTCTCTGTAGATCAGGGGTGTCCAACCTTGGCAACTTTAAGACTTGTGGACTTCAACTCCCAGAGTTCCTCAGCCAGCTTTGCTGGCTGA